GTTCTTCCTGCACCTCCCCCCCTGTGTCCGGCTCCGAAACGTATGCGGGTTTCGGCCTTGGCACAGGATTTAGTTGGTAGTGAGACTCGGGCTGCTTCGGGGGCTGCCCCATCCGGGTTGGGGACGGAGGCATTTGAGCCGGTTCCTCCTGCCGAGGCTTCTGGGTCCTACCAGCAGACACCCTTCTTACCTGCCTTTCCCTTGGACTCTACCTTTTCTTCAGGGGTAGAGGGTTTGGAGGACGGCTCTGCCCTGGGTCCCGACGCAGGGGATCCTGGGGCTGAGGAGGAGTCGACCTGGGGGCCTTGGGCCCCCTGTGACCCCGCTTGGGTGCTTTGCCTTCCCCGCGGGGCTTATTGTTGCAGGGGGAGGGATTTTCTTACCCCCCTTCCCTGTATGAGTATGATTTAGGTTCGGTTCCGGGCGCCTTTGGGTACCTCGGCTCTGTCTTTCCAGGGGTTTGCTACTTCCCGTATCTGCGCGAAGGTGGCTCGGGAAGCTCTTGCTGCATACCTCTTGCGAGACCGGGTTATGCCTCCCCAATGGATCCGTCCTTGTTTGAGTTAGGTTCTTCTTCCCGTTTTTGGGTGCATTTGGAAGTTCCGGAGTCTTCCTGGCTGGCAGACTGCCCTTTCTTTTCGTTCGGGGCTTGGCATGGGTTCTGTCGGACCCGCACGCTTGATTGGTGGGAAACTGCTACTTTTATGCAGGTTTACCTGGTTATCTTGAGGTTATCTTGAGATGATTTCAGGGTTTTTCTTTTTTTAGTGTCCTCGCGGCCTGGTCCTCGACCAGGCCTCCACCCCCAGGAAGCAGCCCGTGACAGCTGACTAACACCCAGGTACCTATTTTACTGCTAGGTAACAGGGGCATAGGGTGAAAGAAACTCTGCCCATTGTTTCTCGCCGGCGCCTGGGATCGAACCCAGGACCACAGGATCACAAGTCCAGCGTGCTGTCCGCTCGGCCGACCGGCTCCAAACATTATTGCCAACAGCATTTGGTGTTCCCAGGCGGTCACCCATCCAAGTACTAACCAAACCCAACGTTGCTTAACTTCGCTGATCGGACGAGAAGCGGTGTTTTCAACGTGGTATGGCCATTGGCATACCACGTATGTTGGCATGGCATACAAGTTTGAGCACCTTAATGCATGCTTATTCGCTCCCGTGCTTTCTCGGGATGTTGGCCTTTTCCAGCTTCACGTGCAGGTTCCTCAGCTTTCGGCTTCATTGGTTGCGGAGGAGTTGCGCTCCCGTGGGCATTTTGCTTTGGTCTTGCATTTCTTTTCCTTTCTCGAGCTCTCTTCTGCTTGGCTTGAGGAGGATTTGGGAGCGTTGAGTGAAGGGCCTTCGTCCGGGGCGCTCTATTCGGCAGCTAGGGCATCGGCTGCTCTGTTGAAGCTCTTTGCGCTCATCCTGAAGGAAGCTGTGTCTCTGTTTTTTTGCTTCTCGCCTCGCGTGCCGTCTGGCTGTGCTCGCCCTCTCTTTGGAATCCACTTGAGCCCTGGCTCTTAGGTTTTCATCTCTGTTTTGTCCGTTGCTGTGTGCAGAGACTGCGGTGTCTCAGTTTCTGCATGCGGCTTCGTCTAGTTGTCGTCCTATGGCAGACTTGTTGATTCTCCGGAGCGGTCGTTCTCGGCAGTTTCGGAGGGGTCGTGCCAGGGTTCCGGGCTCTGGTGGTCGAGGTGGGCCATTGGTGCCAGTTTCTGAGCCGTTGTTCCCTTCGGGGCCAGCGTCGTCTGGTCGGCGCAGTGATCGCCCTGTTCGAAGGTTGGGTTCTCGTAAGGGGCGTCGGCCCTTTCGCGGTTTGCCCCATTGACGGGGCGATGCTGAGAGGCTCGCTCTGTTTGCCCACGCTTGGTCCCACGATTTGTGGGCCTTTTCGGTCGTGTCATCCGGCCTGCGGTGGCGTTGGGCGACTCGTCCTCCTTTGGGTGGTTCGGGGCTAACAGGGCAGGTTTCTTCTCCTGCGCTTTGTCAAGTCGTCTTGGAGTGGGTGCGCTTGGGCGTGGTCGAAACGACTACGTCCCTCAGGTGGGTTTCCCGCCTGTTTCCAGTGCCGAAACGGGACTGTGCGGATCTGAGGTTCATTCTGGACTTGTCCTGTCTGAACACCTGGATTCCTTGCCCGTCCTTTCGGATGACTACTCTGTCTCAGGTCCGGCTTCTGTTGGAGCCGGGTGCCTGGATGGTGTCCCTGGACCTCAAGGACCCGTATTGGCACGTTCCTATTCATCCAGGGTTCAGGGACTGGTTAGGTTTCGTGGTGGGGCGTCACGCTTACCGTTTTCGATGCCTACCTTTTGGCTTGAATCTGGCACCTCACGTTTTCACGGGTCTGACCCGGGTTGTGGTGACCCGTCTGCATCTTCTAGGGATTCGGGTTTTGGCCTACCTCGACGACTGGCTGGTGTGGGCTCCCAATCGGTCAGCTTGTCTGCTCGCCAGGGATATGGTTCTTTCCCAGCTCGCCAGGTTCGGGTTCCTGGTGAACTGGAGGAAGTTCCATCTGGTTTCGTCCCAGGTTCGGACCTGGCTGGGTCTTGTTTGGGATTCTCGGACCGCTTCCTTGTCTCTCCCTCCAGAGGCGTTGTGGCGGCTGCGGGACCACTGTCAGCTGTTTCTGAGTCGGTTGCTGCATCGCTGGCTTCCTCTAAGGGGTTTTGTGGGTTCGGTGCCTTGGCGCCTACCCGAGTCCTCGATCGACCTGTTCGTGGACGCGTCATCTCTTGGCTGGGGCTTTGTGACCAGTGCTCACCAGGCCGGCCACGGACGATGGGGTCCATCCTTCCGCCGGGGTCACAGTATGGTGCAAGAGTTCGCGGCGGTTTGGCTGTCGCTTCGGAGGGTTCTGGTTTTTTTGGGTTTGACCATCCGACTCCATTTGGACTGTTCTCGGTTAGTTCATTGCCTGAACCACAGGGGTTATCCTTTGGTCCTTGCCTCTTTGGAGCTGGTGCCTTCGAGTAGCTCATTTGCCGGCTTCTCAGGGTTTGGCTCTCCATGGGGTTCATATCCGGGGAGTATCCAACGTCCTGGCGGATGGCCTGTCTTAGGTCATTCCCCTGTCCTCGGAATGGAGAGTCGATGCTGACTCCTTCCGTTGGCTCTGCCTGACATACGGACTCCCAGATGTGGATCTCTTCGCGGGTCGGCATGGTCTCGGCATCTCCTGGTCTATGTGGCGCCCTTCCCTGACTGTGAGGCTGTTACAGTGGGTGCCTTTTGGCAGGACTTGTCAAGGTGGGGTTACCTGTACCACTTTTACCCGGTCCAGCTGTTGCTTCGGGTTCTGGCTCGGTTGTATTCCTACCAAAGAATAGTAGTCTTCACGGCCCCCTTGGTGGCTGGCCCAGCCCTGGTTCAAGGCACTGCTTGCTCGATGTGCAAACCCGGTGCGTTTTCCTCGGCTCCACCTCTTCCAGCAGGGTGGACCGGTCCGGTACCGGCTGGTTCAGTCTTCTCCATTCTTCGTGTCTGGTCTTTTTGATGCGGGTTTATCACCATTTGTATGCTGATCAGGTGGCTTCGTTGATGGTGTCTCACCTGAGAGACTCATCTCGGCGACAGTATGAAGTTTTCTGGCGTTCTTTCCCCCATTTTCTCTCTCTTCATAGGTTTCTTCTAGTATTTCTGATCGGGTTGTCTAGTTCTTTCTGTCTTGACTTTTTCAGGACCGTCATTTGATGCTTAATACTGTCGCCTCGTATTCTGCGACACTGGTGGAGCTGCTCCAGCTTGCGTTCGGGATGAATGTCACATCTGCCCTATTTTGTAAGCTTTTTTGTGCTTTGTTCCATCTCTGGCCTGCTCATGGGCCGCCTGAGTTGACTTGGTCTTTGGACAGGGTGCTCTCCTATTTTTCCTCTCCTCGATTTATGGTGACCCCTTCAGTTCAAGATTGTTTTTCCAAGGCTCTGTTTCTGTTGGCATTGATCTCTGGGGGTCGGGTCACTGAGCTTCATGTTCTCTTCCGGTGCAGGGGTTTCTGCTCTTTTTAGATCCTGGTGATCGGTTTGTTCGGTTACAAACTTGCTTTCCGGATGGGTCCTTAGGTCATAGATGTTCGGTTGGTCAGGCCAGGGGCCGTGCATCGTGTGTTGTGTCCGGTTTCGGCTCTTCACTGTTATTTGCGAGTACCGGCTTCAGTGGCTGGGGATGTGCTTTGGGTTGATCCGGTTTCCCTCATTCCCTGTGTAAATTGATTGTTTGATTGTTTTCCTTGGGATTGTAGGGAGTTTTCTACCTCTCTGTTCGGTTTTTGATGTAGTTTCTTACCATGTGGGGTTTGTTTCGTTACGCCTACCTTTCTGGGTGCCTAACCCCGGTCGATGGCAGATAAGGAAAACCCCCAACCATATGGGGTTTTCCCAGGGCCATTGCTCCCTGAAGCCTCTCTGAAGGGGCCAGGTTCTGGTGCTGGTCCCTGGTAGGTCTGAACTCCATAGCTAATGTCCCGGTCTAACATAACATACATTAGCCCGATAAGCTCCAGGGAGCCTCCGGGGCTCACTCAGAAAATGGCGTTTCATTACATTCAACGCTGATTTTTTCTCATATATCTTTGTCTGAAAACAGAGCTTGAGGGATTTGGAGGTCTAACATTTAACAAGATCTTTGTGACTCATTACCTGCTCATTGTTCTTGGTTCCCCAATGGGCTTATTATGCTCTTGATTGGGTTTCACGTTCTGGGTTCAATGTCACAAATTTAATGATTTGCTCTCCTCTTCCCTGCTATGTCCCAGTTTCCATATTCTCTGTGGTGAGTTAGCTACAGTGAGCCACCATTCAGCCCCTCCAGAAAACCTTTGGTGTTGTGATTGATAATTTGTCATTCAGTTCAAGTGTACTTACTGTTTTTACAGAATTAAAATGTATACTCTAGCTGTACTCATTTTGTCAGTGAATATGACAACTAATGTACAGTATTTCTATAATAGGACAGTTTGTCAAGCGAGACATATTTCGATCTATAAAATTATCTTTCTCTTTTATAGTGAAGAAAAGTAAGCGTCAAACGTTCCTGTCGCCTGAAAATTCCATAATTGAAGAAAATTTGTTTAAAATTAGCCCCAGCCATATGCGGGAAGTGGGCTGCATGCCACTGAAGCTTGATGATCTTGACATTGACTTACAATCTGAGATTCATCAACACCAAGACAATCAAGATCTTATTGTCCCAGGTTATTCTAAATTCTTAGAATGTTGCTATGAATTATTGATATTCTTTTGAAGAATTTATAAACAACAAAGTATGATATTTGACTTCTTAATAATTTGATTGAATTTTACTCCCCAGATAAACCTGGAGTCTACCTGTATGGCCACAGAATGATGAAGAAAAGGATTGTTCGCGTCATGGGTATTAATTAATTTGATCAGTTTGTTCTTTTTGTGTTGTTACTTATTATAAGTTTAGTAAAATAAATAAGAGGTAATCCTTTTATTTAACATAAAATGCAATACTAAAAGCTGGGATATTAGAGTAAAACAACAATCACAAGTGTCGCAACACACTTATGGGGAAATTGGGAAAGGATTTTCAGTGGCTAAATTATAATTTTAAATAAATCTTTGCTCATAGTAATTTGAATTTTTCAAATTATGCTAAATAACAAACGTAAGAATGTTTTCTGAATGCATGTTAGCGTTGCTAGGACAATGATCAGCATATTTTTATGGGATCTTCTGTGATCCAGATTAATTCTGCAGATGTCTTAGTAATGTCCTATTGTCTAACTTAGACAATGTCGATTCTTGAAGGTAATATACTAGATCTGAGCATTGAGCATTCAGTATTGCTTAATGATACCAGCACAGATTGGTGAGGGAATCTCCATTTGGTAGACTGTACAGCATTTCTGGAGGGGCCAAAGGGTTGCCAAGGAGTAGGAGATTGTTACCATCACCCCTCACTAAAGGACACATCCAGAAAGGAAGCAAAGCAAAGCAGACAACTGCAAGGGTCATGGAACTGAAATGAGAAATGACTCTGCAAATGATTCACTCAGTAGTTAGATTGAGTCCCCCCCCCCCTTAGTTACAGCTGGTCACCACCACAGGTGGCACCTCCAGGACTTCCCAACTCCCATGACAGCAGGCCTCAGTCCTCTCACTGTTATCCCTGAGTGGGGACTGCTCCTTGAGTCACTGGCTTTGGCGAGTCCCAGTTTTTTCCAAGATAAGTGTAGGGTGTTCTTGGGAATCTTTCCTGTGAGGGCTATTTCTTTGTTTATTGTTTCAAAGTTTAGTATTTGCTTTACAAATGCATTACTTACTTGCTTCACTTGTTGTGAAGCAAGCAAGTTGTGATTTTTGTTCACCCTCGAACTGCATGTGTATAAGACAGCCTTTTCTAGGTGTTCGTTTGGCATTGCCTCTGCTCCGACAAGAGCGACAGTGTAGGGTGTCTCACCCTGGGTAGTGTCAGGGGTTTTACATTCCTCTGTGAGGCCCAGTGGTTGGGGGCATTTGGGCTTTCTTGTTGTGGGGGTGAGCTAGGGATTTTCATGCTTGTGTATATAATTATGGCACACTGCTGGTACCCATCTCAGCTGTGTTTATCCTATAAGCTGCATTCTGTCAGTTCTTTTGGCTAGTATACCTAGTGTCCGAGTATCCTGCTCCATCCTTACCTTCAGCCTTGGCAAAACTCGCAGGTCTTTGGTGTTACTCAGGAGTCAGATGTTCAGTGTTATGGAGACAAGTGACCTCCAAAACTTAGAATAACATGGATTTAGAGTGGAAACATTGTGCCTCTCAAGGTCAGTGTGGGGTCTCAGAGCTGGTCATCTTCTTGAGGCTTGTTACACTGGCACATAAACTATGAGGAGCTACTTTATATACATCACAATGAAAATGTAATAAAATTTTGATTGTTATTAGCATTTTCTGTGGGGAGCCCCTACGGCTCCCTGGAGCTTATCGGGGTAATGTATGTTATATTACTGGGACATTAACTAAGGAATTCAGATCTACCAGGGACCAGCACCAGAACCTGGCTTCTTCAGAGAGGTTTCAGGGAGCAATGGCCCTGAAAAACCCCCTTGTGGCTGGAGTTTTCCTTATCTGCCATCGACCGAGCTTAGGCCGATCGGCCGAGCAGACAGCATGCTGGTCTTGTGATCCTGTGGTCAGGGGTTCGATCCCGGGCGCCGGCGAGAAACAATGGGCAGAGTTTCTTTCACCCTATGCCCCTGTTACCTAGCAGTAAAACATGTACCTGGGAGTTAGTCAGCTGTCACGGGCTGCTTCCTGAGGGTGGAGGCCTGGTCGAGGACCGGGCCGCGGGGACACTAAAGCCCCGAAATCATCTCAAGATAACCTCAAGGCACCCAGAAAGGTAGGCATAATAAAACAAACCCCACATGGTAAAAATCTAAAACAAAAAACAAACAGAGATAGAAACTCCGTACAATCCAAAGGAAACAAGCAAACATCACACTTTACTGCCGCGCCGGTCATCTGTGCAGCCCTCCCTGCCCTGAGAGGGGGAGGGGGGAGTCCTGGACCTCACCGCGCCGGCTGCCTAGTATCAGTTCGTAAGCTAATGTCAACCATTATAGACGCTTCTCTGGCCTCAGTTTCCTAGGCGGTGTTTGCCTTGTGTGGCGTTCACTGCCGTGTGTTGTGTTGTGCAGTGACCAGGTGTTCCTCATCAGTACCGGGGCTGCATGAGCTTAGGGGCTTCCTTCCCTAAGCACCCTGTGAGTACTGCCCCTGCATGACAGGGTTACCTTCCCTGGGGTGTTCGGGAACCATACCCGTAGAGTTTCTTGCTGCTCGGCATTTGCCTCGCCCTTGGGGCCAGCTGGGGCTTGAGGCCCTTGTTTGGCCCTGGGTAGGGACTGGTATTGTGCTGGTTAGGGCGTCAAGGTGTTGCGCAACCTGCCACCTAAGTGGCGACCAGTTCCTGTTGCCTCTGGAGACGGTGTACTTTTGCAGGGTTTTTCTTTTGTTTTTATTTTCATTTGCCTGGTGGGGGGTCTGCCTAGTGTGGCTATAGTTCCACTGGTAGTGTTTGGTGGCCCTCTGCTAGGCCCAAGTGATTGTACACGTCACAGGGGTTTTCAGTGTTGTCCTCTACCCCCCTTGTTAGTTTTGGGTTTTAACCAGTTAGCAACACCTTCCCCGGGCTTCCCGTAGTTGTTACCCCTACAGGCCCTGGAAACCCCTGTTGGGGCTCGGTGGACCATTGAATGTGTCTTCCGGGTTCCATCCCATCTTGTACGGGATCGTTGGTTGCTGTGCCCTTGTCTCCGGGTGACTGTCACCACTTTTACCTCCGTCATGTTGCTTGTTGGGTCACTGACACTTTGACCCGGAGTCTTGCGAAAGATATTCTCTGCTTGTTCTCCAGTACTCTTCTGATGTTATTACTGTTCAGAGTACAGGTGACATCCGTGTTGCAAGCTATGTTAGGTTGCTGCAACATGCTAGATTAGTTTCCCACTTGGATGCCCTGGGGCCATCCCATTTTGGTTAGGTGCTGTTCACCCCTTTCCCTCCCTGTTCCCAGCTCCGGACCATCTGCGGGTTTCGGGGTCGGGGCAGGGTTTAGTTGGGGCCGAGACTCGGGCGGTTTCGGGGGCTGCCCCATTCGGGTTGGGGACTGAGGTTTTCGAGCCTGTTCCTCCTGCCAAGGCTTCTGGATCTTACCAGTGGCCCTTTCTTGCTGCCTTTCCCGTGGACTCTTCCTTTTCTTTAAAGGCGGAGGGCTTGGAGGACAGCTCTGCCCCGAGGCCTCTGTTGCTGGTTCTCTTGGCTGTGGGGGATGCCTGCTAGCAGTTCTAGGGCTGTTTGCCCCTGCCTGGGTTTTCTGCTTCTGGGCGGAGTTTTTCGCCCATCCAGTCTGCTTGCTTCCCACTTTTGCTGGCGTGTTTTCGTATCTTTTGCGTCAGTCACAGCCCCCTTGTTCTGGTGGCCATTTTCTTCTGCCGGTTTCCCGGCGTGGCCACCAGGGCGGCGTTGCGCTTTTCTGGGGGGAGCCCCGTCGGCTCCCCGGAGCTATCCCAGGCTGATATGCTAATGTCAGACTTTGGCATCAGTCATGTGTATGGAGTTCTTAGGCCTACCGGGGACCACGGCCAGAACCGGGCCCCCTCAGAGAGGCAAGGGGAGCAATGGCCTATAGAAGCCCCCGTGTAGTTGGAAGCATTCTATGTCTGCCATCGACCGGAACAGGCACCCAGAAAGGTAAGCGCCCCAAAACAAACCCCTATTCTGGTTAAAATTGCTACCTAATACCGAACTAGTGGATAGAACTCCCCAACCGAAAACAAGCAAATTAGTGTGACGTCACACACTGCCGCGCCGCTGTCTGCGCAGCTCCCCCCTCCCCGGGAGGGGGAAGGGGGAGCCCCAGACCCCCCGCGCCGGCTACCCACACCTCAGTTCTTGAGGCTGATGCTATAGGCGATGGTCGTGTGCTCTGGCTCCGGTGTCGCTACTGCACTGTGCTTTGAGTGTGGTGTTAGTTTTGTGGGTGCGAGAGCCAGGAGTTATCTTCAGTACTCGGGCTGCATGCGCCTAGGGCTGCCTTCCCTAGGTGCCCTGTAAGTACTGCCCTTGGGGCTTGGGGCCACCTTCCACAGGCTCCTCGGGGTCTGCCTCTGCTGGTCCGTTTTACCTTTCGGTTTTTCGGCCGCCTGTTGGGCTCTTGGGTGTTCTGTTCTCCCTTGTTACCGGCAGGTAAGAGGCAGTTTGCACTGGTAGGGGCGCAGGGTGCTGCTCAGCTTGTAATTCCCGACATCGCGGCCGGCTCTGTTCCTTGGGGTTCGCTGTCCTCTTGCGGGGTTTTGTTTTTCTTTTTGTTTTTGCCTGGTGGGGGGTTCTGTCATTTTATTCAGTTTGTTTTTGCCCTTCCACTGTTCTCCTCGGTGGCGCCCCCTGCTAGGTCCCCGTGAGTGTACACGTCCCTGGGGTTCAGCTTTAGAAGTTTGCTTGGTAGTTTTGGGCGCCGGTTTGCAGCACCCTGCCTGGGACTACCTGAGCGCGAGTCCTCTTAAAGTAAACGCTCAGGACCCTGGGAATCCCCTAGGGGGCGCGTGGGTCCGATGGATGTGACCCCGGAGTCCCCACTCGCTGTGTGCGAGTTTGAGGGTTGCTCGGTCCCCTTGTCTCAGGGTGACCCTCATTGTTTTTGCCTCTGCCACGCTGCCTGTTGGGTCGGTGATACTTTCGACCCTGAGTCCTGTGAGTGTTGCTGCTTGCTTGTGACTCAATTTACCCAATCCTCTGATGATTCTATTCGGGTACAGGCGGCACGTGCGTTGCAGTCTAGGTTTCGTCTGTTGCAACGCGCTCGGTTGGTTGCTTCCCCGGATGCCCCGGGGCTGCCCCGCTTTGCTTTTCGAGACCCGG